TTAAAGAGTTGGCCGAAGGGAAGACCCCCAACCAATCCCATGTGCAAATTCAAATCCCGTTTTGGTCGAGGATTTGAACCCGGGTCGAGAGGGGACTTATGAAAAGCCGCCACCAACTCACCTACACCCGGTGCACACATTTGCGCCACTGGGTGACAAGTTGGTAGGCAGTTGCGTTGTTAGCATAAGACCCCTCTGACTCATGTTCGATCTCTACAAGGACGGATACCAATTATGGGGAGCAATATTACCACCCTTTTTTATTTAAACAAAAAAAAGTATATATATATATATATATATATATATAAACACATACCCACCTTATGATCTATTGGTAGAGCAGCATCCTTTGAAGGTCGTAAGTCCCTTTAGGTCACTGGTTTGAATCCCCCTCTGACCAATTTGCCGGTAGTGAGGGCAGTCCTCGAATATTTAGGCATGTGAGGGTGGCTGGGGGCTCGTATAATAGCCTCCGACCACTTTTTTTTTTAATTAAAAAAAGTGTATGTAAATTTCTCTATAAATGTATGACCCACACATACACATCGACACACACAGGGGTCCTAGATGCTTCCTCTGTCTTGTGTCCTTGTTTTCAGTTTCATTTTATAGTTTTGTTCAATTTATGATAAAGGCTAAGAAAAGCGTAGGTGTACTCCTAGAACTGGCGTGCTTTTACTTTTTTTTACATATTCAGACATTATTTTTTTTGGATGAGAGAATTTTAAACTTTGTTTAATGCTTTTTCGAAGACATTAAATCCTAGCCGCTTGAAGTAGGTCATTAGGGCGAAAAAAATTATGATTAAATTCCGAGTACAAGACCCTTCTGGAATTGCTGCAGTATTTATCTGATTTGAGCATTATTAATTGTTCCTATTTCTTTGATTTGTATTGCTATTATGTTCCTTTTTTGAAAAAGAAACAAGCTATCCAGGGATCTTGAGGCTGTAGTGAGTAGGGTGAGGGTACATAGTAAGGAGAATGAATGGAGTGAGCCAAGTTGCGCAAAAATTGAGAAAGTTAGGGTACATTGAAGAGGGTTGAAGAGTAAACCTATTTTTTGCCACCTTTATCACCATTATAACCTATATCAGCCATCCTCTCCATTATATACAGTCCTTATTCTCTACATGCAATCTTTTCTATCACTAATTCGAAGGCACCAAACAATTTTTGGAATAAGGTTTAGCAATTCTACAATATTAACTGTGCAAAGTTCAAACTTTGAAACATATGATAGTTGCATTCTCAGTATTATTCCAAAAGTTTAGGAGCTTTATGTTAAAAGCTATTATAATTAATTGCACACCAAGAAGTAATCAGCTACATAGATATATACATACATAGAGGGGTTATTTGTGTGTGCGTGTGTGTATTTTATTTTATCTTCTTTTCAATCATGTAATGTCTAATTGACCATCTTCCATAAATTTCATAAGAATAAGTTGTTTGATGCCAGTTTTCAAGTTAATTTGGTCATGCATCAATAGTAGAAAAGTAACATTCCATTGAATGGTTTTTTTAGTGAGTCTGGCGCAGCTACAAAACAGAAGGAGACGAGGAAAATAAAATAGAGAAGCAGAAACTATTCTTCCATAATCATTAGCAAGCAAAAGGTGTCTGCTCAAACGGGTACAAAAAATATAGGTATCGTGTCTACACTATCAGCACAACCGTACATACGTATAATAAGAAATAAGCGAAACACAAATAGAGGTTTAATATTCAATATTAATTAGTAATAAAATACTTATAAAGAAATAAAGGATATAGCACCTGTTGCTTATAAGAGGATTCACTGCATTAGATTCTCCTCTGATTCAGAAGAATTCGACTCGAGTTCCGTGATTTGCACACATCCATTGTCCGGTGGTTGATACTTTTATAGATAAGCTACATTGAAGGTGGAAGGGATATTCAAATCAGGAGGAAGTGTCACCAATTACGCATTATCATTAATCTTTGTTTCAATAGGAAATGACCCAAATTTTCATGGTTTTAGCTTAGAGTATGTTCCTATAGGAAATCTTTCCTTACGGAATCAAATCATCACCAAATCCCCAACATTAAAAATCTTTCTTCTGCGATGTTCATCCACTTGCTGCGTGTACTTCTGATTGCTCTCGATAATTTTATGTTTCACGTTGCATAACATCGTTTCAAAGTTTCTTGCCATTTTGATCGCTTGAGAACTCTTCGGTTTGGGAGTTACAATGACATCAACTGTATGATTTGGTTCTTTAGTATAAACAATCCTGAAGTGCATCTTTCCTATAGTTCTATTTGTCATAACATCAAAAGCAAATTCCGCTTGACTCGAGATATCGTCCCATTGCTTTAGATGCTCACCTTCAAGACATCGAATCATATTTCCTAACAAGTGGTTTACCACTTCAGTTTGTCCATCAGATTGTGGATGATAGGCTGAACTAAATTTTAGTTTTGTTTGTAGTTTTTTCCACAAGTCACGACAAATACGACTAACAAACTTGAAATCACGATATGAAGTTGTACTCCTTGGAATGCCATGTAGACGGACTATTTCCTTAAAAAAAGTTTTGCGACATTGATTGCATCAAATGTCTTCTTGCAGGCGATAAAATCGGTCATTTTTGAGAATTTGTCATCCACCACCATAACAGAATCAAGACCACATTTTGTTTTTGGAAGACCCAAAATAAAGTCTAAACTAAGATCTTCCCAGATTGAATCTGGAACCGGTAGTGGAGTATATAGGCCAATGTTCTGAGTGACACCCTTAAAGTTTTGGTAAATTTGGCACTTCTCAACAAAGCGACAGACATCTCGACGAAGTCCGGGTCAAAAGAATCTTGCTTGAAACAGAGCTAGTGTCTTACCTCTTCCCACATGAACGACTAACCCAACACTATACATTTCTTGAATGAGTTGATGCTGAAGGGAGATATTTGGAATACAAAGTTGATTGCCTTTGAAGAGGAATCCCCGTTGAATGGAATAATCGCCCGCTGTCCTTTGTTCAATGCACTATGACCATGGAATTGAATAATCCTCATCATCTTCATTTTGCTCACAAAGTGATTCCATACTTGTAATTAGCGATTGGACAGAAACTAGAAGACTCACTCTTCGGCTTAGAGCGTCTGCAACTCGATTGCTATGGCTAGATTTGTGCTTCAATACAAAACCAAACTTTTGGAGAAATACAATCCATCTCATATGTATCCGATTTAAATTCTTTTGAGTTTGTAAAATTTTGTAATGATTGATGGTCACTAAAAAAACATAAACTCTTTTGAAATTAAATAATGTTCCCATTGTTTGGAAGCCTGAACCACAACATATAATTCTTGCTCGTATGTGGACCATTTCTGCAGCGGACCACTAAGTTTCTCACTGAAAAATTCAATAAGTCTGTTTAGAATTGCTCCTATTCCTGTAGCAGAGGCATCTGTCTCCACTTGGAATGGTTTATCGAAGTCTGGCATCGCTAGAATTGGTGCAGAACTTAGGTGTTGTTTATCACCCAAGAAAAATAATTTCTGCTTTAAACAATCCATAAATGGAGCTACAATGACGCTGAAATTTTGAATGAATCAACGATAGAAATTAATGAGTTCATGAAATCTTCATACTTCAGTAAAATTTGTTGGTTTTGGCCAAGAATTGATAGTTTTCACCTTTCTCAAATAAGTTTTAATGCCATGTTTGGACCTAACAAAGCCCAAAAACTGCACCTCTTCCTTGTGTGTGTGTGTGTGTGTGTGTGTGTGTGTCGCAAACTCACACTTGGGAAAATTTAGAGAAAGCTTGTGATCACGAAGAGTCGTTAAAATCAGTTTTAAGTGGTGTAAATGAGCATCCAAATGAATGACTATACACAAGTATATCATTCAAATATGCCACACAAAAATATCCAAGGAAAGGTTTGCGTACCTCATGCATTAGTCTCATGAATGTGCTTCAAGCATTACATATGCCAAATGGCGTAACTCGCCATTCATATAGGCCTTCTCGGGTCTTGAACGCCGTTTTCCTTTTGTCACCTTCACGAATTCTTATTTGATGATAATTGCCGCGAAGATCTAGTTTCAAGAAATAATTGACTCCACCTAATATGTTGAGAATTTTGTCTTGGCGTGGCATCGGAAAACAAAATTTAACAGTAATTTTATTAATTGCTCTACTGTCAATGCACATTCGTCATGAACCATTTTTTTTTTAGAATGATGAGAGCTGGGACAACACATGGACTAAAACTATGCCAAATGAATGTTTTCCGC